GTTATGATATGCCAGATAAATAAAATAAAAATTGTTTACATTTTATGTATATATTGAAATGCGTATGAGATGAAAACAAAAACATTAAAAGCACTTTAATCAAATACATACATAACTGACAAAGGGGATGATGATGATATCGACATCAGAACAGTAGAACAAATAAAAAAAAAAAATTATTGAAATATCGATAGCAATATTGAAAACTGCACACAACGCTCAAATATGGATACTTTTTTAATAGTTTTTGCGCTCCTTATATAATGTACTAGCGAACTTCGTCCCGTCCAAAGTTATTTTTTTTTTGATTGAAACATTTTGGTCCAACATTTCCAGCAAAAATTCGCGCTCACGATTTCCAGTGGCATATTTATCTGCTAAGGTTATGGGTTGGTCGTCGCCAGAAGCATATTTTATTGCCGTCTTAAATAAAATAACAAAAGTGTTATATCCGTGAAGAAGTTCTTGAAATACTCTAATGATCTGGCATTTCATAGCACGTTTAATCGCACAACGAAATAAATTCGAATAACTTTAAGGGAGGTCATTTGAGATTGACCGCTGTCCTGTAGGTTTAACGCATAGTAATATTGGCAAATTAAATTCATTGGTCCAATCGGAACACATCAGAGTTCGATATACTCAACTCAATGTAATCGGATATTCACGGCACTTTTTCCCACTTGACGATTTTTAGTAATAACTCGACTCCAGCGCCACCTGACGGCTCTTTTTGGACTTACCGTTACCAATACAAATCTCGAGTATGCGCCAAATCGGATCATAAACACGATTTTTAGTAATAAACCGTATCCAGAGCCACTTAGCGGAGAAATTTTTAAGCAGAAATATTCCCTTTACGATTTCAAGAAAATCCGTGTAGCCGTTCTTGAGCTTTGCGAACAGAGAAAACGGCTTTCAAAATATATATTAGCATAGGTAGATATACATACATTAGGGCGGGTTAATTTTTACTATTCACGTATAGCATAGGAAGATTCTATGTGTAATTCTATGCAAATTTGCTGAAGAAACCATGCGTCTAAAATTAATTTGAGTTTGCCGAATTGCGAAAATAGGTTTCGGAGTAAATATGAAAAATTTCACTTTGATGAAATTCATAAAAAAAGATAAGACCGGAAATGGATTCTTCATACCAAAATCCCCCTTATAGCATGCTTTTAAACAAAATTTAGGAACTTCTTTACGGCAATGCAACAAAATGCTAAGAAACCTATTTTTATAATTTGGCAAACTCCAAATTTATTTTAAGTAATGGTTTCATTTTTGAGTTCCCATTTTTTCTTAAAAATTTTTTTTTTCGAAAAAAAAACCGCGTTTATTCGATACCTCACATAAAAATGAGGGAAGCGTTAGCTATGGTATTTTTCCAAGGCTTCAGTGCGAACGGATCGTATGAGCGGTAAGTACATTGTTTTAAGTAATTAATTAAGTATTTTTCGACAAACTAGACTAGTTACTACCTACATACATACATACTTATATATATATGTATGTATGTACATGTTTTTAAAGGCCTTAGCAGTTTGTTAAGTTACCTATGTACATACATACATACATACATCTGTAGGCACATAGTATATCGTAAGTATGTAACTATATTTAAGAGCATAGGTACGCCTTTGGTTGGCACTCGCACGCTTTTATTCAACTCTCTTACACAATGACTCTTTAAAATATTACGAGTAGTGACAACTAAGCTTTTAAGACACTCTTAAAAATGTAAAAGAGAATAAAGCTTTTATTTTGAACAAATAAATAGAAAACAAAGTCCATGTAGATCGAAATAATCAGTTGTTTATATTATACATATATCTGTATATATGCATGTTAATGTATGTGTAGGAAAAAGGTCGCTTTCTAGTTGAGCAATTGTGACGTTGTTGTGGATAATTTTTATTTTAGACGTGTCACACCGTCTGATACCGGCATCACAATAAACGCTTTTTGTTCGTGTACCCATAAACTAATTCACTATGGCACTTACATACATACATACGTACATATGTATTTATTCTTATGAAATCGCTTCTTCTGATATCGCTATCAGCTGTTACTGCAAACATACCGCAAAGGCGATTTTATGCTTGAAATACAATACCGGCGAACGGCAAACTTCGCCGAATTGGGCGATGCTGTCGTTCACCGTTCGCCCAGCTATTTCGCCTACTTAAACAGAATTAGAGCGGTAGCGAAAACAGCTGATCCCATTTGGTCGCCTTTATAATTTGGGTGACCATATTTAGAAAAAACTAAACCATATTTAGAAATGAGGAAATTATAACAAATATAAATGTAAAACAAAGAAAGATTATTATAAATAATTTGTTTCAAGCCAGATTTAACGAATCCACAACTATATTTTTCAAACAACAAAAATAAATCGTGTTTAGGTTGTTTTCTTTTAAAACTTTGAAAGCAAAAAACAAATACGGCCACCTTTGGCACGCACAGCTGTCATCGCCCAGCAGGGCGATAGAAATAAATCTATCGCCATGAAACGCCGCCAAGCGAACTTCGCATTTCGCTTTTGCTGTGTTCAATTTCATATGCGTGCGGGTGTTCTAATTTTGACAGCGCGAATTTCGCTGTGGTGAGTTCGCCGTTCGCCGGCATTGTATTTCAGCTATTATGTTTTTTCAGCGAAAATCCAGAAAGAATTATACAACACTCAAAATATCAGAGAGCAAGAAAATAATCCTCTCAAATTCGCTCTCATGTAGAGAAACTTGCAAATTTTTGCATGAATGCAAATTAGCAGGTATTTGCAAGTTTTTCTGCCAGCTGGTGTCCACAGTTGCATTTCAAGCATAATAAATTTTTATAGAATGTTTAATATCTTTCAGATAGACAAAAACAGGATATTCATGTATATTTCTTGTTAGTCTGCCTTTCACATACATATTGAATGTCGGATCTCCTAAATCGACTATGGTTGCGATTGCATTCCGATTACGAATTGCAACTTCTCTCCACGAGAACTGCCACTTTGCGCTCCCAGTTTTTGAGTGATGGATAATATTTTGGCCAGCACCAACGCGATTTAAACAAAAATTATGATAATTCGTACAAACTCGTACACATTTTTTGCCCGACGAACAGAACTAGATATTGTTATATAGATATGTATATCTATGGTTGTTAACAGCGCATCCAAATATCCTAAGCTAGGAGATGTCAGTCATATTGGCGGTAAAAAGTGCCAAATAAAAAAAATAAAGGTGTTAAATAAGGGGATTTTTTGTTTTAATTAAATGAAGATTATTTCTTCTTTTCCATGTAGCAATAAAGAAAGAACCACGGGGCTAAAACAAAAGTTCCGTTCCAAAATAAAATGAAATATTCCCCAAAAATTTATTCCAATAGTACTATACACCTATCAAAAGTATAATCTTAGCACCTTGTGCCAAATTGAAAAATTAGGTGGGATTTTAGGAAAAATAGGGCCAAGAAATCGCCGGGCTTTATGTATTTTCTTGTATTCATCGATTGCTCAGAGCGACAGTACAAAATCGCTCGTATAAAAAAGTTACTCATACGCCCAAGGGTATAATTGAGCTAACGGCGAAATTGTGGCGACCCTTGTGCTGAACAATGTACATACATACGGTTACATTAGGTGCATTTTTTTTTGTAAGCGAGCGACAAAGGAACGCTCAACTCGGGTAAAATTTCCTTTTAGCTACCTAAGCAACCCTGTTGGTAGCTGGCAAGAAACATGTGACTAGTTTAACGCGATTTAGATATAAAAACCAATTTAAATGGGTAACTATGCGAGGTATTCTTCTTCTTCTTATTTGGCGCTGTAACCGCCTAAGCGATTTTGGCCGAGTCCAAAACAGCACGCCAGTCATTTCTCTTCTGTGCTAACTGACGCCAATTGAAAA